CTTTGCTAAAACATAACAAGAGTCACCTTTGCTCCAGTTTCCAACAAGCTCCTCATCTCCATCTGAGACCACCTCAGTCTGGATTTCATTGTCCATATAATTACCAGCATTTTGATCAAAGAAATTCAACAAGTCTCTAGGGAGTTTCAAACTTTCCCACATTTTCCTGTCTTCTTCTGAGTCCTTCAAAATTTGGAATCTAACCTCTGCCTGTTACCCAGTTCCAGTCACTTCCACATTGTTCTGTGCAGGAAATGCATGAGGGGAGAAAAAAGACACACACACAATACTTTTAAGGGTAAACAAACTTTATCCCATGTAAATGGCAAGGCAGATATAATAAGCAAATGATATAATAATAAGCAAATGATATAATAAACAGATTGATACAATAAGCAAATTGCAATGGGAAGGGGAGAAGGGAATATATATATATATTTACACTCACCAGATTATGGAGGATTCACCACCAGACTGGGAAGCAACAGTCTGGGCTCCAGAGTCAGAAGCAACAGCCTGGGCTCCAGAGTCAGACACTTCACTCACCAGACCATGGAGGATTCACCATCAGACTGGGAAGCAACAGCCTGGGCTCCAGAGTTGGCCACTCATCTGCGGCACAGAATAGGAGAGGTCTCATGAAGGTTTGGTGCAGTCTGGGACCCTAGCTCTTTTTGTAATGAGTTGTTTGGCATGAGGCCCAGTCACGAGGGCCCTTCACGACTGGGCTCAAGGAATATAAAAAGGTCAACTTGTTTTTGCAATTGTCTATCGTTTTTCAATGTATAGGAATAGATTGAAATGGAGATTTCTCTGAAACAGCAGTGGACGAACATCTCAAGGGGCTCACACAACCTGTTCCGGGACTTGGTGACCACTGTTTGTGTCCATGTTCAATTGAGTTCAAATTTAACATTTAACTTTTCCTCCACACACATTTTCGGGTATCTTTTCAGCAGTACCCCACTCTACTGGTGCCAATTTACTGTTTTAGTCTGTTTTCATGCTGCTGATAAAGACATTCCCAAGACTGGGTGATTTACAAAAGAAGGAGGTTTAATGGACTTACAGTTCCACGTGGCTGGGGAGGCCTCACAATCATGGCAGAAGGTGAAAGGCACATCTCACATGGCAGCAAACAAGAGAAAAGAGCTTGTGCAGGGAAATGTGCCTTTTAAAAACCATCAGATCTTGTGAGACTTATTCACTATCCTGAGAACAGCATGGGAAAGACCTGCTCCCATGGTAATTGGATAATTACCTCTCACTGGGTCCCTCCCACAATATGTGGGAATTCAAGATGAGATTTGGGTGGGGACACAGCCAAACCATACCAGAGATAAATTTCAGAATTACTATTGAATCTTGGAAGTTCATTCCCCAATGGTGAAATTTGGGCTTTGACTTTGGTCATTGGCATTTGTTGCCCTTCCAAAGTGGGCTTGGTGCCCTGAGGCTTCTTGAGGTTCAGGGGCAACACACCCATCCTCCACCATTTGGCCCCTCCCATTTGGCAGCTCCTGGCCTTGGGGACCTTCTGAGCCATGGTGGAGGCTTCATCCATCCCCATTCTCCAGGCACCTGCCACCCACCTGCCACCTCCAACCAGGAGGTCAGCACCTTTGTGCAGTGGCCACCCAGAGGCCTGGGAGGGACTTGGATCTGGAGGGTCTCCTGCTATCAGGCCTTGCCTAAGGCTCTGCACCCTCCCTCCAGCCCTCCAGCCCTCCACCTTCCTCAGGTGGGGACCTCCCCATGTCTCTCTCTCCAGGTGTGTAAAGCCTGAGGACACCCTGGGGAGTTGGAGAGTACAGGGCCCCCTGTTGCCCAGGTCCCCAGGCCCCCCCACCTGCATGCGCTGCAGAATCCTCCAAGTGCACCAGTTCCCCAGCTCTGCATATTTGCCCGCCAGTTCCTTGTCTGCCTCCCTGAGCTGCTCTGCCAGGTTCAGCAGCATCATGGGTAATGCCATGGGCTCTGTGGCTGGGGACCCATGGAGCTGGGGCCAGCCCAGTCCTGATGAGTCCTTCCACACCCAGTGGACGATCTGATCCATCATCTCCACCACTTCCATCTGGGGGTGCAGGAGATGAGGTGAGGCCCAGGCTGAGGCTACATTCTGTCCCACCTGTCCCATCCCCAAGGACATGGCCCTGGGTGGGAGAACCAATTTCTCTCATGAATTCCAAAGACATCTTCATCCAGGGCCCCGGTGTCCAGTGAGGTCAGGAAGATGTGCCCCACTAGGGGGCTCCCAGTCTGGGGGTGCAACCCCTCCCAGGCTATGGGGTCAGGGTCTGGCAGCACAGGGAGCCCAGGGAGGAGGGAGGGGCCTCTTCCCGGTTGGGGGCAGGGTGTAGTTAGTACCCTCTCTGTCTGGGCCTCTGTGGCATCCAGCAGGGGGGTGTTCAAAGGTGAAGGAGACTTCTGTGGGGAAGGGAGACACCTGTAGACACCAATGACAAACAGCTCAATAAGGGGTGGTGGTGCCAGAAGTCCTTGGACTGTAGAGGCCCAGAGGAAACACCTCAGGACTGCAGAATTTGCAATAGGGAAGAAAGGGATGAACAGACTTAAACTTGTGGGAGAAGCTGGCTTGTTGGAGAAGATGTGGCAGAGGACTGGGATGGACAGAGAACTAGCAGTACAGTATCCCGGGAGTGACGTAGACCAGCCAGCTCACAGCACCCTGAGGTGCCGGCCCCACTCACCTTTGAAAGTGCTGAGGTGACAGGCTGACCTTTCAGTAAAGAACTCTCTGTAGCACGGTGGGGCCTGCTGGGCTTGGGTGAGGACCACCCCACTGGAGCTGCCTTTCTTCCCCAGAGGTCGACAGGTGCAGAGTGGAACATGGACTGGGCCCAGACAGGCAAGGCAAGGCAAGGCAAGGCAAGGCAAAGAGGCAGGGATGCCAGTGAGGCTGATGGAGCAGGGCTGGGGCAGGGATGGAGAGGTGCCAGAGAGTAATGTATTAATAAAATCCCATAGCATCTGAGGAGGGAGTGGGGGGATTTATCCACTAATGTTGTATATGCATTTGGCTTGGTAGTTGTTGTGTAACCCACCTCCACTCAAGTGCACAAATCCTACCTAGGAGCACAGCTTGGTGAACATTTACATAGGCCCCACTTGTGGTGACATTTTGGCTGCAAGTCTGTTTTTCTCTCTGGCACTCTGTCTTTGAGGGCAGGGACCTTGTCACTTGCTTTTACATCTCTGGGGCCCAGCACAGAGCAGGTGCTCAATAAATACTTGTTGAATAAAGGTCAGAAAAGGGATGACAGAGCATAGAGTTTTTCTGACACATCTTGCCCGAAAAAAATTTGAGGCCATGTTTGTTTATTGTGCAGTGAGCTTTTGAATGAAATGCATTTCAGCCCAGAAGGTGCATCACGTCTACTGGAGACTAATGAGGGTGGACAAAGACACAGCTCTGGAAGCTTCAGGAAAATAGGCTGGGAGAGTGTTGGGGAGGGGAAGCTAAAATGCAGTAGGTATGAAAGCAGAAGCCCCCATTTCTACCTGCTGGCCTGTCCTTCCTGCAATGAGAGGTAGGCTGGGGCTGAGGGCTGTGATGGGGAATCTGGGCTAGAGGAATCGGGGCTGCAGACACTGGCCCAGAGATTAGGGGCTGGGGACTGTGAACTCTCAGGCCAGCAAGAGACTTCTAGGGTGTAGCACGTGATCTTTCCAATAATCTTGGATTTTTTAATGTTCCACCAGGGAGGAGAGCCAAAAGGCACATCCCATTTCCTCAGATGCCTTCTTGTTTGTTCTACAGAGGGTGGTGTTGGAAGAGCTACAGTGCTCAGGCAGGCAGGGGCACTAGGAGAGGGGCAGGAGATAATATTCTCAATCCTCTACTAGGATTGAGATAATATTCTCAATCCACCCATCTTAGAGAACAGAGAACACACATTTAAACAGGTGTTCACGCAGTCAGGTGCGACTTGGCCTACTAGGGGCCCATAGGACCCCCAGAGGAAACCCCATGCTGTCCCCTCCTGCCTTGGGTGCAGTGTCAGCTGTGCAAATGGACCCATGCACATCTGAGGCTTACCAGAACAGCTTGCACACGTTTTAAGAAAAAACAAACAGGTGGAATTCTCAGTAACAAGTGCCATAATGATGCTTTTCCAGCAACTAAGTGACTTGCAAGTGGCGAGGGCTGGGCCACGCCAGGGCAGGCACTGGCTAGGGGTAGACGCACTGGGAGGTGGCTGCCTTGCCAAGTAGGAAGCAACCCTCAAGGGGGGGCAGTATCGCTCCACCCACCCAGAGCTGCACCTGGGGTAGAAGAATTGACAGTGGTGATGAGCATGGGCCCCTGCCAGAAGCCAGGGAGACTGGGGCAGTGGAGAGAGTCATGTTGTCTCCTCCTGTTGGCTCCCATCGGGATGTGCACCCCGGAGCCCAAGGGATAGGATGTCCTTCTGCAATTGGGCTGCTGGCTCCACAGCTGAGCCATTGGTATTTAGAAGGGTCAGGAAACTGGGGCCTGCTCCTGCCCCCGACTTCTCTGAGGCAGTGGTCACCAGGCAGAGGGCCAGCCACAGACCACCAAGAGGAATGAACTCCTGCTCCCACCCCTATGCAGCCTAGAGAGGTGGGATGATTCTCAAGTCCCAAAGCCATGTTAATCCCATTCCCAGTCCCTGAGGGAGGAGCTGAGGATCTGGCCTTGTCTTCTGCTCCCAGCTGGAATTACAACTTGGGGAGCCCTCGCTGCAGTGAGGGGAGGCTGAATGAAAGACCCCTTTCTGCCGAGGGAGAGCTCAGAGCTCCAGGCAAACCAGCTTCCCCATCAGGGTGCTTCCTCTTCCCTCCAAGTGCCCAGCAAGCACTGGAATAACCATTCCCAGCAGGGGCCACAACAGCACCTGGACCCTAGGAGGGGGCAGTTTCCAAGTGCAAGGACAAGTATAGAACCCTATGGCATGGAGAAAGGAGCAAGGGAAGTGGCAAACGAAGCTGTGACAAAAGACGTCAAGGAAGACCAATGCCATTTAACATATATTTATTGAAATCTACTTGATGCAAGGCACTGTGCTAGATTTGGTAGGGGATCAGACACGAAAGGCCACCCCTGTCTTCTAAGAGCTCACAATTAAACGGGTGGGGGAGGGCTGAAGAGGAGGGGGTGAAGCCAAGTCCACAAACAGCTCTAGTGCAAGGCTGATTATAGTGAGTGCCAGAAAACAGACAAGGTAATGAGATGGGGGGAATGAGAAAAGAGTGCCAACCCAACAGAAAAATACAGAGATACGCAAATGACACTGAGGGCCAAGTTTAAAGAGACAGTTTCTGCTTTGCAAAGTAAACACCCAAAGTGATGCAATGAGAACCACAGAATGCAAGCACATTAGTAAGAGAAGTTAGCAATCCCCCCATCTGATGGACATGCTGGAAATCGTGAAACACTTCAAAAATAAGAGAACAGGGTGAGCTGTGACTTCACTCATTTTATGGCCTGCACGTGGTGGGTTCAGTAAAGGAACAATACCTAGACATAAAATCACAGGTTAAATTCACTGAGACTAGAAGGCATCAACTTTCACCCATCTTAAAGAACAGAGAACACACATTTAAACAGGTGTTCACGCAGTCAGGTGCGACTTGGCCGGAAAGCAGTCAAGTGGCAAAATGCAATAGAAAACAGTAGAGACCCACTCAAGCTGACTCAAGTCAAGGAGTCTGTAGTGGGGACACACGTGGACCAATGAGGGCTGCTGCCAGAAATCCAAGAACATACCATGGCCAGGCCTTCCTCCCAGCAGGTGCCACACTCCTCACTCCTCTGAGTACTGTGCTGCCCCCCACACCTTCTGATGCCTAGAAGGTTCTGTTTCCTTGTTTGCATTGCCGATCTGGAAGGCCTGGTGGTGTCCATGGTCCGTCGTGTTCTGCCAGCTCTGTGCTCTGAAGATTGTCTGCTGCCCTTGGGTCAGGTGTTCAGTTCTGGCTGAATTAATGTGGCCTAGAAGGGGGGTGGCAAATCACATGGTATGCAACAGGGCCACAACCCAGGGCTGCAGGTAGGGCAGGCGCTGTGCCAGTTCTAGCACAAAATCAAGCACATGGAATGCAACACCACTAGAGAAAGATGCCTGCTGCAATCGGGTGGGGACTATTCTGGAAATGCAAGAGTGGGGTGACACAGCTAATGGACACAGCTCATTGTAATAAGCAGCAGAAATGGTAAACAATTAGTTTCTTTTGAAAATTTTCACAAGTATTCAAAACTCTAATAAAAGTAATGGAGGATTTCTTTTTTCAAATGGTAGGAAAAGAACATATTTCTTTTTTTTTTTTTTCTTTTTCCATGTCAGGCGGGTAATGTGCCAACTTAGTAACAAGGTTTGAAGGAGGCACATCTCACACATGTGCATGAAAACCCAATTGTCACGTGTATGAACTACAAAAGGATCAGGAAAAGAACACATTCCCTCGCAATAGGAATACATGAGAGTAGAAAGAAAACTGGAACGAGGTAGATGCATGAATGCACAGACAAGGATATGTGACAGGAAGCTGGGTGATATTTTGCATCTGACATAGTAGTACACCTAGAGAGCCCAAGGAAATCCACCCCAAGTTACCAGAGGCGAGAAATGAACTCGGCGAAATTAAATGACACACGTTAAAGCCACAGACTGCGTTGAAAGAGAACACGGGTTTTACCGCAAACACTACGAACAGCTGTTCCATCAACCTTGACAGCAAAGACCAGATCTTTAGTGTTAACTCTAAAAGAGCATTTGTTTGAGAGAAAATTATTGAACCGAAGATGGGAAAGAGTCAAGGAGGACAGGAAGGGATGCCAAGACGCCACGTCCCAGTTGGGAGCAGTGATAACTTTATGCTACGTTCTGAGTTAATGCTGCATTCAATGGGATCCCTTCATAAAAGGGATCTACTTCAGTGGGATCCCTCATGAAACGCAACAAACGATGAACGAACGGGCAAGACATGGCAGAGTACTTCTAGGTAAAGGTGCCAGACTTGCCCTGGTCAAGGTCAACCTTCTTTATCAAATGACAGCTGTACAAAACACATCCTAACAACTCGAAAAGAGAAAACGGATCCGAGAAGAAAGTAGTGATTTCAGACACAGATTCACAACTACTCCAAGAACTGAGGCCCACAGGGCAAAAGGAATCACTATGTAACAAGTGTTTTTGGCTCCTCTCCAGCCTAGGGGTCAGGGTGGAGATGTCGCATAATGCCACTGTGGTGGCCTGGGTCCATTTGAGAGGACCTTCTGGCCAAGGTCACAGGGGTCATTGTAGGACCTTGCTTCCCAGGATGGGAGCCTGAGAAGCCCTTCCAAGTTGTGTCTGCTAGGAAGCTCTGCCTCAGCCTTGGTGGGCCCACAAGGGCACACTTTCTTGCCAGGCCCTCCTAGTGTCCCTGTCCCCAGCCACAGCTGCTGGGAAGTCACACCACAGCCCTGGTGGGGCTGGCTTCTATCTGTGGCTTCTGTGGACCACTGGAGGGGCAGGTTCCTCGCCAGACCTTGCTGCTGTTCCTCTTGGGGGAGCCCGCTAGAAATGGCAGCTCGGACCCAGGAGGACCAGCTTCTACTTGTATGCCACACAGACTGTCAGAAGGGTTCCACTGCCCTCCAAACCTTTGCTTTAGTGCTCCTCCTGGTCATGACTGTTGCAAGTCATAGCCCAGGGCAGTGCTGCCAGCTTCCATCCACATAACACGCAAGCCATCGGAGGGGCAGGGTTCCTATCCAAGCCTCTGCTCTGTTGCCCTCGCTTAGGTGTGGCTGCAGGAAGTGATGCCAGAACACATGGGTGAATTTTCCCCTAGCTGCCCAAAGCAGAAGCCTATGAACCAATCTCTTTCTAGTTCTAGAGTCACTGGCTGAAAGGAGGATGTGGTCCAGGCGAGTCTTCTTGTGTCCAAGGAGATGTCTCGTGGGTGAATCTGCTGTTCAGTCACTGAATCCACTCCGAGCACTGCCAAAGCTCCCAGGAGCTCAAAGGATGGCTGGGCTGCTTGCTCCCAGATCAAGTTTGGACCACCCCATTGATCTAGGTGAGGCCAGGCCCTGCTGCTGCTGGCGGGGTCTATACTGATGAACAGTCACAGAGTTCTGGTTAACCTATGATGGAAGCATCTCCAGTGTGCTGCAGTGGCCAGGTTGGATAGTCAAGTGGTGCCCACAGATAGACACGGAGTCTGCATCTCGGATGAGGAAAGAGCCTGCTTCTCTGGCCCATTTCCATCCAGCCTGCCCACCTGGTGTACTCACCTTCCGATGGGCAGGGGTTGCAGCTTTTTGTTTGTAATTAAAATTCTGGAGAAAATGTCATCATATCTAGCTACAGAAGCAATGAAAGTTATGACAGAGTGGACAAAAAATGAATGCTTGGATATGTAAAAATTAAAAGCTTTCACAACAAAAACGTAATAAAATTGCCACAAAGAGCAAAGCAATAAAACTGGAAAAGAGAACATCATCATCAATATAGAAAGAACTGCCACGTAAAGTCAATATATCGGAAGGTAACTTGATAACTAGTCAAAGGAGATGAACAAACAATTTGCATGCAACAGAAACAGCATTTAAGTCATTGCATAAGAGAAAGAAGATGAGACTGGTGGTCAGGAGGCCTGGGGTCTATCCCCAGTTCTGGTACTGACAAGCCACAGAATAATGGCAATAACTATGACAATGACAATGACAGCAGATGGCCTTCACTGAGTGTGTACCTCCGTGCCAGGCTGGTGGTCCTGGCACTCTGCAGGCACGATGGCAGTCCTCGTGATAACCTTCGGAGGTAGGTGCTGTGATCACCCCCGTTTTACAGAGCTAGAAACGGAAGGTTGGAGAAGTACCATCTAGGCCTGATACCAGGAGAGGCTCTTGTTTCCAAAAGGAGGCGTCACCCTGCACTAGAGTCCTTGAGATGTATCTCTTCTTAGGGGCATGCTCTCAACTATTTTGTTTTGAACAAAATAGTGCTGCTTGAGGACAAGACCCATTAGTTCAAAACAACCCCAATCGATGCTAGTTTTGGACATGTATAGGGGACACCAAATTGAAATGGTTTAAGAAAAAAAGATACATTTAACCCAGATTCAGTAACTGTTACTAGGCGTTTGGCCTCACAACGACATTTTGGGTGCTTTAAAAGAAAAGACGTTTAAAGGTTGTTTGAAAAAGTACCACCTTAAGTGGTTATATTGTAGAGTCACAGGACAGATTAAAAAATGACAAGAGAAATAGTCCTTATGTTCTGCAAATATGGTCTTGTGGCTTGGGAGAAAATTTCTAATGAGAGCCTCATGAAGGGATTGTCACTGAGCTACCGTGCAGAGTTCGGATGGAAGTGACTGGGTGTATCTTGAAACTGTCTGATGACTCAAACAGGGCTCCCATGTCGGTGAAGACCGTGAGGAGTCAGAGTAAAATGATTTCGTGAAAGGGAGGATGGCAAAAATGGGGCATTTTCTAAATTAATATATTATTTTATATAATATGTGATTTACAGTATGTATGTATAACTAAATTAATAAATTAAATATTTTAAGACATTTGAGTGTTCTATTTACATCCCTAAAAATTTATAAATTCAAGTAGGCCAAAAATCATGAGGGCAACGTTCTCTTCAGGAAAGTTGGGATCGTATTATAAGGACACCACCATGGAATAGCTCTGTGTATTTTTCTGGGGCGGGGGGAGCTTGGACTTGATGACCTCTAAGCCCCTCCCTACCCCACATCCAGATTTGTCCTCTCTCATTCTTGGATTCAAGGCATGTGTACCTCGATGGTACTTCCTACCAGTTAAACTAGGCAAACTAAGTTAAATGGTACAAGCTACTCTCGATGGGCATAACGTAACACTTATAAATTGCTGGTGGCAGTATAAATCGGTCTCAACCTTTTGGAAGACAAAATATATAAGCGCTACAAAACTGTTCATCTCCTTTGACTCTGCCATCCCCTCTGGGGATTCCGTCCCTGTCCTGCGGGACCGCAGGGCATTTCTACTCGTGGTGGATCGGCTGATGCTTCTGTAGCGCCGAGCGCCTCTTGAAGACACGGCCACACTGGCTGCATTCACAGCGCCGCGCCCCGCTGTGGATCCGCCGGTGGCGACTGAGGCCGGAGCTCCGGCGGAAGGCCTTGCCGCACTTGTCGCACTCATAGGGTTTCAGTCCGCTGTGGATGCGCCGGTGCTTGATGAGGTCGGAGGGACCGCGGAAGGCCTTGCCACACTCGCCACACGCGTAGGGCCGCTCGCCACTGTGGATGCGTGCGTGCTCCAGGAGGCTGGAGCTCTGGCGGAAGGCCTTGCCGCACTGGCCGCAGGCGTAGGGCTTCTCACCCGTGTGGATCCGCCGGTGCTTGGTGAGCTCCGAGCTCCTTCGGAAGAGCTTGCCGCAGTGGGGACACCCGTATGGCTTGGCCCCGCTGTGGATGCGCTGGTGCTCAGCCAGCCCGTTGACCCCTCGGAAGGACTTGCCGCAGTCGTCGCAGTCGAAGGGCAGGTGGCCAGTGTGCATGCGCTGGTGCTTGAGAAGCTCCTGGCGATCCAGGAAATCCCTGCTACATGCCTTGCAGGCGAAAGGTTTTTCTGAAGTGTGAAGTTTCTGATGTCGGAAGAGGTGGGTGTTGACTTTGAAGGACCGCCCGCACTCCTCGCAATCAAAGGGCTTCTCTCTGCTGTGGACCCTCAGATGTTGACTGAGGCCTGCATTCTTCTTAAACCGTTTTCCACACTCCTCGCACTCGAAGGGCTTTCCCTCCCTCTCCGTCTGCTCCCTCTTCTCCGCGGCATTCTCCAGGGCCCTACTGGGGCCGGGCCGGGGTTCCACAGCTACATGGCTTTTCCTGTGCTCATTAAACTCCGCCACCCCCCTGAAGATCTTCCCGCAATCGCCACATTCCCAGCCCTTCTCCTCACTGTGGACTCTCTGGTGCTGGACAAGCAGGACTTTAAGCCGAAAGGTGTCCCCACACTCTTTACAAGCAAAATGATGTTCTATGGGCAGATTCTGTGGGCTCCCTCTCTTCCTGTCAGAGTCCCCATGCTGTCTGAATTCAGGACTGGGGCCACTGGCCCTTGGGGAGCTTGTGGACGCCATCTCCTGTGGCTGGGCGTCTTCCCCCATCGTCTGGTGTTGGGTCGCAGAGGTGCTTTCTGAAACGATAAACACAAGGCAGTGTAGTCTGCAGAGGAGGACGGAGGAAAGGGCCTCTCCTTTGTCAAGAATCTTCTTCTTTCTGAGACAGCCACTGAGCACGGGGCCTGGGCCCGGAAGCCACCAGAAGCAAGGACTGCAGAAGCCAGGGGCAGAGGGGCCTCATTCCATTCTGGACACTCTCTACCACAGTGGTGCTGAGGAGGTCACCCCTTCTGTGACTGGAGAGCAGCCACACACGTCCCCAGAGGCTCAGCTGGGCTCCCTAACCCTAACCCAAGCACCCCAAGAGCCCAGTTAATCCTCTCAAACCTAACCTATACCCCAAGAGCTCAGCTGGGCCCCCAACCCTAACCTCAACCCCAGGAGTTCAGCTGGGATCCCCAAACATAACCTGAATCTCCAAAGAGCCCTGCTGATCCTCAACCTAACCTCACCGTCAAGAGCTCAGCTGGGGCCCCAAACCCTAACTAGAACCCCAAAAGCTCGGCTGGGACCCCCAACCCTAACTTCAACTCCAAGAGCTCAGCTGGGATCCCCAAATATAACCTGAATCTCCAAAGGGCCCTGCTGATCCTCTCAACCCTAACCTCACTGTCAAGAGCTCAGGTGGGCCCCCCAACCCTAACTTTAACCCCAAGAACTCAGCAGGGTTCCCAAACTTAACCTCAACCCCAAGAGCTCAGCTGGGATCCTAACTTTAACCCGAATGCCCAGAGAGCCAAGCTGATCCTCTCAACCCTAACCTCAACCCCAGGAGCTCAAATGGGCCCCTCTACTCCTAACCTCAACCTCAAAAGTTCAGCTGGATCCCCTAACCCTAACCTCAACTCCAAGAGCTCAGCTGGGCCCCTCAACCCTAACCCAAACCCCAAGAGCTCAGTTGGAACTCCTCAACTCTAATTCAAAACCTCCAAGAGGACAGCTGATCTTCTCAACCCTAACTTCAACCCCAGGAGCTCATCTGGGCTCCCCAACCCTAACCCAAACCCCTGAGAGCTCATCTGTTTCAACCCTAACCTCAAGCCCAAGAGCTCAGCAGGGTCCCCAAACCCTAACCTCAAGCCCAAGAGCTCAGCTGGGACCCCCAACCCTAACCTGAAGCCTAACAGCTCGGCTGGGCCCTCCAACCCTAACCCAAACCCCAGCTCGGTTGGGCCTCCCCCAGTTTCCTCACATTTCTTTTTCACTCACCAGAGTACTTAGCTGGATCAGTGTTGGGCGATGGGTCTGATACCAACACTTGTCCTTGTGCCAGGTGAGGGACCAAGGCAGGATTCAAAACAGGAACGCCTGCTCATGGGAAAGGAGATTGGTTACGGCGACAGCCAAAGATGACATGAGAATACTGGAGGAACATAGGCAAGGCCTTTGAAGGGGAACCCCCTTCCATCTTCAAAGACCAGGCTGGCCTTAACCTTAGGCAAGTCATTCATTCAGTTCAAAGGTGTTTCCCAAGGTCAGGCTCCTTCCAGGAGCTTGAGGAAGGCAGGCTCTGGGCCCACCTGGGGGAGGCTCTGTGGAGGATCAAGTGGCCACCCTGAGGAGGTGATCCTCACCCTGCCTTCTGCCTGTCCACCCCCTCAGTGCTCACACATTTAACTTCATGCTCTTCCCAGACATGTGGACTTCCACAACTCCCAAATCTGACTCCCAACAGTCTCTCCTCCTAAAACCTCCTCCCCACTGCACACATGCAGACCCCTAATGGGTGAACAAGATCTTGATCACGTCAACCATTCTCTCACAAATAAACTCAAACCAAATGGTCATGCAATTTGCATAATTTGTGCATTAAAATGAAAAGAGTATTCTACATTACAGTGGCAGTGTTCTAATTTCTTTCCCAATAAAAGACTGAGAGGGGTTCTTTCCATGCCAAGAGGAGTTGGGGGAACTCATACTACTCTGACATATCAGATGTGGCAGACCCGTTGTGTTTCCCCACAATCCAGGGAGAAGGTGAGCTTCTGTGGGGGTAGCCATGTGCCCCCTGCCCCACTCCAAGCAGGTGGTGAATTTGAGGAAGGGCTGGGACATCCTTACCCACATAGGTCACGTTCCCATAATATGCCAGCACCCTCTGTTCAGGGTCCAGCTTAAACCACTCCCCTGTGGTGAGGTACCATGCCACATCGTCAAATGTCACCAAATCCTGAAAGAATTCCCAGGGCTAATCAGTCTTTCCATCTATTTTAGAATGAGGCAGGGGCAGCGCCAGTAATGCCAGGGACAAGAGGCGAGGGTCTGGAGTGGGTGTCTGTTGTTAACATGGAGGCCTAACCACAGCTCCAAGAAGTCCTGAAAAGAGAACCTGATCAAGCACTAGGATCCCTGGGCCATGGCCCTGGCATCTCATCTTTCCAAGGGACCTCCGTTCAATCACTTTCCTGGATGGAAACTCAGCTTCCCCACCTGGATGATTGGGACTTCAAGCCCAGTGGATATCCAATCCTTGGCAGCCTCTAGAAGAGAAGCAGTGGGAGGGCAGGAAGGCAGCAGCTGGGGTTCATACTCTGCCGTGTGTCATGCTGGGGCAAGAGACAGAGGCTGAGGCCAGATTCAGGGAGCGGTGAGAGAATCCCAAGCAAGGCAGAGGGAAGCACAGCTCACCTCAGCCTCCGGCATCTCAAGAGGGACTGCCAGGACCTGGTTTCCTGGTGCTCCATCCTGGGGAGAGTAAGAACTTGGGGATTAGGTGGAACTAAAGAAAGTGAAAAAGGCCATGAGTGATGACAGCCCTGTCCCTGGATCCCCTGTGAAGAGACTGGTGATTTCCTCTTCCTTGGTTTCTGATCTTGTTGAGTCTTCTCTCACATGTTGGCTGAATGACAAGCCAGGGCATGGAGATGTGTGAGAAAACACACCTTGAACAGGGCCTGGCAAAGAATGAACAGAGGCAGGCCAGAGGGAGCCAAGACAAGACCAGCAGATGCCAGCCCAGGCACAGCCAGGTGAAGACAGACCTAGACAGAGATCCAAGGGCAGGAAGACTGGCAAGCCTAGAAGTCCATGCTGACGCTGCACAGGAAGGAGGCACACCAAGATCATCAGAAGAAATAACCAGGAAATGAGAGACCCTTTCCAACTTTGTAGAGGCAACAAAAAAACTGGATCAGGATGCCGGAGGGAAGACAGCAGGAATGGGGGCTTCTAGACCAGCAGTGAGGCCCTTAAAAGCCATAGCCCACTGACACAAGGAGCCTGGTGACAGCGAGACAGGTACACATGACAGCAGTTCTCTAATGCATTCAACCAAATGAGAAGTGGAATAAAACAGCTGGAAAAATAAGCCTCAAAGAAAAGATCTTCAAACACTAAATTGTTAAACAAAAGAGCTGAATGATTTCTACAAATTTTCTTCTCCTTCCAAATTGCAAATTATGTGAAAGATCCTACCACCGATATCCATGCATCACAGGCCTCTCACATCAGTGAGTTCAAAGAAACAGCTACACAGTTCCTGTTGTGATGACAGTTCAATTTAATTCATAATTCAGTAAAAAGGAAGGCTTTATACACTGGCTCAAGACTCACAAAATCTAGCTACTCCAGAAAGACTCTTATATAAAATTAAAGATGTTAATTAAAAAGAATGGACAGAAACTTCCACGTTTGGCTGCGATGGAGTAACAAGGAACAGATTTCACATCCTGCCATAAATAAGTAGAAGAAAATGGAGAAAATATATGTGAAACAAGTTTTCAGACACTGGACAGCAGGAAGTACAGAATCACGATCCCCAAGAGAAGAGAAACAGATAAGGGGAGCCCTATCATTGCCTCAGCTGTCTGCCTGGAGGCAATTTCCAGATTGAGACTGTGTGTTGGGGTGGGCGAAAACCAAAGAGAGCTTAGTGGCTTTGCCAAGTTGAGGAGACACAGACCAGCATTCAGAGCAGCTGAGGCAGCTGGAAGTTGCAGAGCAGAGTTCCAGAAAGGAGTTAGTTATGCAGTAAAAAGAGCTTCAAAAAATATGTATAAGCTTCCCTTTGAGTCTTTCCTGACTACTAGGCCATGCATGCATAGAGCGAAACTCCGAAAGCCCAGGAAAAGGGTGACCAGGAAGCTGTAAGCTGAACAATTCTCAGGACACACAAAGGTAGAGAGACATTCAAGGTCTGACCAACCAGTATAGAGTCCTCTGTGATTACCTGGGACACACTGTAGAGAATCCAGAGGCCTTAGTAGTAGGGCTGATGTATTCCTAGAGCCAAAGCTACACAAGACCTGTCTCAAAGAAAGCTTAAAAATAGGCCTCAAAGGGATCAAACTGATCCACAAATAACTACCACCCCAAATCCAGACACTCAACAATATAATCTTTATAATACCCAACATCCAATCAGAAGTTACTGAAATGCCAAAAAGCACAGAAATGTGGCCAGGGCAAGGAGAATAATCAGTTTATAGAAACACACAGAAATGACCAGTGACGACTCACAGACAAGGATAACAGCCAGTTTAATGATGTACAAGCATTAAAAGAAAAACAGGAATACAGTGAGAGAAATAGAAGATATAAAAAGAACCAAATAGAACTTCTGGAGGTGAGAACTATAATATTTAAAGTGAAAATTTTACTGGATGTGATTAACAGCAGATTAGATATCACACAAAAAAATTAGAGAACTTGATCTTTTCAAAAAACCAGCTCCTGGATTCATTGATTATCTTGAAAGGCTTTTTGTGTCTCTATCTCCTTCAGTTCTGCCCTGATCTTAGTTATTTCCTTGCCTTCTGCTAGCTTCTTGAATGAGTTGCTCTTGCTTCTCTAGTTCTTTTAACTGTGATGTTAGGTGTGCAATTTTAGATCTTTCCTGCTTTCTCCATTGTGGGCATTTAGTACTATAAATTTCCCTCTACACACTGCTTTAAAGTGTGTCCCAGAGATTCTGGTACTGTTGTGTCTTTGTTCTCCTTGGTTTCAAAGAACTCTTTATTTCTGCCTTCATTTCGTTATGTACCAGTAGTCATTCAGGAGCAGGTTGTTCAGTTTCCACTGTAGTTGAGTGTTTGTTTGTGAGTTTTCTTAATCCTGAAGTTCTAGTTTGGACTGCACTGTGTTCTGAGAGACCAGTTGTTATAATTTCTGTCTGTACATTTGCTGAGGACGACTTTACTTCTAACTATGTGGTCAATTTTGGAATAAGTGTGATGTGGTGCTGAAAGAATGTATATTCTGTTGAGTTTGGGGTGGAGAGTTCTGCAGATGTCTATTAGGTCTGCTTGGTGCAGAGCTGAGTTCAATTCCTAGATATCCTTTAACTTTCTGTCTTGTCGATCTGTCTACGCATGTGACAGTGGGTGTTAAGTCTCCCCATTATTCAATTGTGTGGGATCTATAGGTCCTTTGTAGGGTCTCTAAGGACTCGCTTTATGGATCTGGTGTTCCTGTTTCTAGATGCCATATATACTTCTAGGATAGGCTAGCTCTTCTTGTTGCAGTTGATCCCCCTTACCATTATGACTGCTTGTCTCCTTTTGATCTTTGTTGAGTTCAAAGTCTGTTTATCCAGAGACTAGGATCACAACCCTTGTCGTTTTTTTGTTTTCCATTTGCTTGTAGAATCTTCCCTCATCACTTTATTTTGAGCCTATGTGCTCTGCATGTAAATGG